ATCTACAGTCGTATGATTTTACGATTGAGCATAGGCAGGGGAAGCAAAATGTTGTACCCGATACCCTATCACGCTATGATATGGACGAAATCTCGTTAAACGTTCCTAAGCTGATCGATCTAACTTCAGTTTCTTTCCGGTCAGAAGATTATCGTAACCTCATAGACACAGTCGAGAAAAATGCCGAACAATTGCCCGATTTGAAAGTAATCGACGGTTTCGTTTACAAGCGTACTAAACCTTACGACGGTTTGGAAACGAATGAAGATTTCGCGTGGAAATTATGGGTACCGTTAGATCTGACAGAGGACATCATAAAAGCGTGTCATGATTCCCCACAAGCGTCTCATGGAGGTGTCGGTAAAACTCTCTATAGAGTAAAGGAATATTTTTACTGGCCAAATCAAAATGTCCAAATTAGAAACTATGTCAGAAGGTGCCAAACTTGCAAAGAAGCTAAGCCAGCAAATACTACGCTCAGACCACCGATGGGAGCCGAAGTCCAAACGGAACGCCCCTTCCAAAGAATCTTTATAGATTTTCTCGGTCCGTACCCGCGGTCTAAAAATAACAACGTTTGTATTTTTATTGTATTAGATCACCTAACCAAATTTGTGTTCCTGAAAGCTTTGCCGAAAGCCGACACTAAAAACGTAGTGAAATTTTTAATTTCAGAAATTTTCCATAAATTTGGAACACCCGAGACAATTGTCTCCGACAACGGAAAGCAATTTATAAGCAAGGAATTTGCCGACGTGACAAACAATTTCGGTATTAAACACGTCCGAACCGCGATCCACTCGCCGCAAGCCAATGCGTCCGAGCGTGTTAATCAGTCCATTCTGGCAGCTGTAAGGTCGTATCTGCAGGAAGACCACACAGAATGGGACAAGCATTTGTCCGAAATTGAATTTTCCTTAAGGTCTTCCGTGCAGTCGTCCATCGGAGTTACGCCTTACTTCGCCTTGTTCGGAATGAATATGATTGGCCATGGTAGCGTTTACCAGTTGGCACGAAAACTGAAAATCTTAAATGATCCAGAAATTAACGTCATTCCGAATGCTGCTAGATTGGATCTGATCCGTCAGAAAATTCGCGAGAATTTACACAAAGCTTACGCTCGCAACGAAAAATCGTATAACACGCGGTGTCGTCCAATTAAGTTCATTCCCGGTCAGGAAGTCTACCGACGTAACTTCCAGCAGAGTGATTTCAAAAACAATTTTAATGCCAAATTCGCTCGAAAATTTCTAAAATGCCGAATTGTACGACCAGTCGGAAACAGTCTGTACGAGGTCGAGGATATGCAGGGAAGATCGTTGGGGGTTTTTCACGCCAAAGATTTAAAGCAATAGCTTTAGAATCTTTGGTGGTTCTAGTCCCAACATGTTCTCCTGCTTATCTTTCGCCTGTCGTGTCTAGTAGTCAGCCTTATCTAATTTGTACTCGATAGGTAACTATAATTGGATAAAGTCTTTTGAGTTTTGTTATTAATTGAAAATCTATCTCTCGCAGTGAATTTCTGTTTGGTATAGTTGTTGTTGTATCCTGAGCAGTATTGAGATCTGTACATATCGTTCATTTATATCGTAGTCCAGTGAGATCCATAGCTTCTTTGGAATGAATAATTATTTGTTTGGTTCGACTTAAAGCCAACGTTTCTTAGCTGGTTACATGTGTAACCGGTCATTACCCTATTAGAAGGTGCAACCCCATCAAAGCCTTCCGGTACCGTGCCATTAAAAGCGTAAGGGTTATTAGTCACCTAGGGCAATGACACAATTCTGAGTCCGATCTTACAGCGAGCCGATACCAAAGGAAACAATTGGGACAATACATATTGGCAGACCAACAGGTATTTGTTCATTCCGTAAGCAGATTGTCACTGGCTGGGATATAAATGATCAATAGTACAGAATCATCGGTTTTGTCCAGGATATAATCAGTAACTATACTAAACACAATTCATTTGAAGTCAGTAGTAATAACAAGTAGTTTAGGACCTTGCTTCATAGTTTTTCTAAACTTTATCTTGTTATTACTACCGAATTCTGCTTTAATTATAAAAAGATATGGTTCCTATCCAGTCCGACTTAAGACTATTCAACTTATACTACTTTATTAAATTTTTGGTTTTACACTCACTCTGATATTTCTACGCCTTTCTGCAAATATCTGCTTCTGTTGTATTTGTTGCTTTAATTGTTGTTTAGTAGTTGTTTCTGTTGTTGTTGTAACCTGAAATAAAGTTCGGAAGACTTTAGTAGGGATTCCCATAGTTTAAATATAAATTTAATATATTTTAGTATATACTTGCCAATTCCCCTGAATTAAATTGGCTTCATAGGGTTCGTCCTTCACGAGGGCACTTGAATTCCCCAAGGAACCTGTAGAAAACAAGATATTAGTTATTTTCAATTATTTGTTGAGAATGAAAATTCCTAAAGAAATAATATAATGAATTTGCTAGAGGAAATCTTTAATTTTAGGATATTTTCTAATCTCAACAACACTTATTCTAAGAAATTAATTTTGTTTTTATATTTTCATGTGGAAATGTCAAGGGGTATTTCTCGCCAAGGATCAAAGGATTTATCCTGAAATCTTTGGTGAATCTAGTCCTTGCATTTCCCACCTTTAACAAAAGACTTACCTGAGTCTTATTTGAAGTCCAGGTCGTCTAGTCTTCTTACTCCAATGAATGGATAATCTGAAAAGAAAGTGAAAAATGTTAGAAAGAAGTTCTAATAAAATTATATAAAAATTCCAAAACAAAAAAAAAAAATCACAAAAAAAAAAATATATAAAAACAAAAATTAAAAAAAAAAATACAAAAATACAAAACACAAAAACCACAAAAAAAAAATATATAAAACACAAAAAAAATCACAAAAAAAAATTTGAATTTTGAATTAGTAGAATTTTTTTTATTATTTATTTTGAATTTAAGTTCGTTTCGTTCACAGCACACTTTTAGTGAACACCTTTCTTTTTTTTTGCCATAGTTTTCATTTTAATTGTTTTGTTTACCGATTTCATTATTTTGTTTTCACGACCTTTTTAATTTACCACTCCGTTTTATTTTATTTTTTTTGTTAATTTTCACTAATTTTTCTAATTTTTAATTTTCTAAATTTTTTTATTTTTAATTTTCACTGTCACACCACTTTTGCACACCACTGTAATTTTTATTCTCAGTTTTTCGGTTTTAACACTTCACCACAGATTAGGATTTAATTTATTTTAGATTTTCTTTTTATCACTGCCACTTTTCTCCGCCACTGTATTTTCCACAAAAAAAATATTCGAAAAAATTTATTTAATTTCGCGTCGATTTTCAATTTAGTTTATATAAAATTTTTTGTATACCACTTTTGATTGTCACTGTATTAAAATTTTTTTTTATTTTTGATTCATCACCCATTATTTTCACAACCACTTTCAAATTAATTTTAATTTTTTATGATTTTATTTTCATTTCACTTTTGTTATCCACTGTAATTAATTTTTTTTTTACCGGTTTAATTTTCTTTATCACTTTAGTTTCCGTATCACTTTTAATTTTTTTTTGTTCTCTTTTCAATTTATTTTTTTTATTACACTTTTGTCACTCACTGTAAATTTCATTTTTATTTTTTTTTGTATCGACACAATTTTTTATTGTAAATTTTCATTCAATTTTTTTTGTTGTAATTTTTTTTGGCGTACACTTTTGTTACACACTGTAGATTCCGTTTTAATTTTATTTGTTTGCCGACACAAATCCGATTTTTTTTTATTTAAAATTTTCATTTAATTTTTTTTATTTTAATTTTCTTTGATTCACTTTTGTCCCGCACTGTAATTTCTGGAAAATAATTTTTTAATTGTTATTGCATACCGGCAATAAATTTTTCACTTTTTATTTTGAAAGAAATTTTAATTTTTCGTTTTCATTTTTTTTTTGTCCGTCCGCGCACTTTTTACCATCACTGTATTAAAATTTTTTTTTGTCCACAAATTCCTAACTGCACTTTTATTTTTATTTTACCACCACCCTTTTATTTAATTAAATTCACTTTAAATTCATATTACTTACCTTTTTGTTTTTGTCCAAATCCAGAAATTACGTCTGCACACACACGATAAATAACTGTAGTCACATTCCTGAAAAGAGTAAACAAAAAAAAAAAATGCATTAAAAAATTTGTTGACCTTGAATATTTTTAATAATTTTTTTTTACTTACCAAAATTCCACCAGAATCCGCAGCATCCTTCGTCTATTCCTGAAAAGAAAATATAAGAAAAATTTTATTAGTATTTTGCTACATTTTCATATTAAAATTTCCAATTAGAAATAAATATTTTCGAAAAATAAAAACTCATTAACAAATACTTACCATTCTTGTTCACCGCCATTGAAAAATGATCGTACGCATTTACACATGCGTATTTTTCCTATGTTGCCTCCTCCCGTTCCATTCATTCAAGCAGCTGTTCAGAGTTCGTCGCCGACCGTCCAATTTTTAACGGCGGCACAGAGTTGTACTTTCGTTCTCGAACGAATAAGGGTTGCCAGACTGCATTTTTTTATATGGGGATTAAAAAATGCCCAAAATTTTAAATTTTTATTTTATTAGGGTAATTCATAAAAATCAGGGCGCGTATTTTTCCCTCCCATTTTGTCTCCATAAATGGATGACAGAAATGGTGGGGTTTGTCGTGTGCACCCTGTAGGTAAATGTGTGAATGGTTGTAGAAATAAGAAGAAGGGAAAAATAAAGTTGGCAACGCGTCGTTTGACATTTTTGAGGAAAAAAAAAAATGAAAGTAAACAAAAACAAACACTAGGAAAATTATTTGAAACAGTAGATTGAATAGCTGAAAGGAATTGAAACAGTAGGAAGCCATTATGGGATCCGAGGTTTCTCGGACCCTAATGTGCAAAATGTCGGCCTTTTTTTCTTTGAGATTCAACGAAGCAGCAAGTGGCAAGTGCGCACAATAAAAGTCGCCTAAGCATTTTTAAAGTCTTTATTTAAATCAAACAATATAATATAAATTATATAAATTGAACACCGAAAAAAAAAAAAAGGTTATACAAATATTTCAACGCCACCTCTGCCGACTTCCAACGTGGGATCTTTCATTTGGGAACATCGGCTCCGCACTGCCAATCCTGAGGTGCGCAGGTATACCAAAGGTTTCGACCATAAAGATTTTTGACCCTGAACGACAAGACGGACTGACAGTACCTTTTAAATAATTAATAAAAAAAAAGGGAAAATAATAAATAAAAAAATTTATATATATATAAAATAACAAGCTTACCATTGGTTAGAATCGGACCAGACCGCTGGCCAAAAATTACCGCCAAGCGTGCGCGACGTTAGGGTTGAGCTCAGGCCTAGTTTTTTTAGAAGAATTTGCGGCAGATTTGCACCCAGTAGCTCAGTATTTTTATACGTATATATATGTAAAAAAAAAAAAAAAATAAATATATATAAATAATTATTTAAAAGATATTTAAAATTTTTGCAAACTGACCTGAATTACCCGAACCTGGACAGAATACGGACGACGGAAACCCCACTGCAACACCTGCCAACTCCATAGCCGTAGGACCTGTAGAAGAAAGAGGAGAAAGTAAAGAAAAAATACTTAAAAGCTAAAATATAAAGATACTTAAAAGCTAAAATCTAAAGATACTTAAAATCTAAAAATACTTAAAAGCTAAAATATAAAGATACTTAAAAGCTAAAATCTAAAGATACTTAAAATCTAAAAATACTTAAAAGCTAAAATCTAAAGATACTTAAAATCTAAAAATACTTAAAAGCTAAAATCTAAAGATACTTAAAAGCTAAAAGATAAAAATACTTAAAAGCTGAAATCTAAAAATACTTAAAATTTAAAAATTTGATAAAACTAAAAGCTGAAAACAATTTGTCAAAAGCTAAATTCTTAAATCTATTTAAAACTTAAAACCTAAAATTTAAAATATACTGCTTTAAAACTAAGAGATTATATTGTGAAATCATACTACTAAAGCCTAAATCTACTTAAATCTAAAGCTTAGAATCTACAAAAACTTAAAATGGGAAACTAAAGAAAATTTGTTAATCTAAAAGCTAAATGTGTTAAACCGATAATTTATATATAAAAATTTTTTTTGTAATAATAAATATCTCCCTTAAACTCATTTTTTTTGATATTGTCCATAAAAAAATTTTTGTAAAATTTAAATTTTGCCGTAAGCTAAGAAAAATTCTAATAATTAATAAAAAAAATTATGTTTATAACGTTTTAAAGAAATTTTGAAAAGTTGTGTCATTAATATGATTTGGTAATTTGTTTGAAAAGCGGCGGTAAGTAGGGGAAGTGAATGTTCGCAGGGAAGATTTGGGGGACGTCAAGGAAGAGGACGTCATGGTGAGGTTGAATCCTCTAGTGGGAGGACAATAATGTGTATAGGTATGACCGCAGGGAGATGCAGGACTACTTTTGGCCCCTTTTTCAAATAATACCCCAAATGCTGGTATGAATTTTTGTGTTAGTGTGTGTTTATGGTCCAGATTGCCGGCAAGAACCACCCCATCCGGCGAGCTTTAGCCGCGCAATACGCGGGCATACCAGCGCCGCTAGCAATCTGGCCATTCTGTCCCTTTCTGTTTATTTTGTTTTCTGTTTGTCTTATTTTAAACAAACAGCTGACCACCACACCACTACATTTCATAAAATCTTGCAATGTTCTGAGCAGTTGGTTTTCTAGAAACAAGTTTCTAAAAAGTTTCTAAAAACTGAATAGAGACATATTTCACAAAATCTTCTAATTTTGTCAACTATTTCTTTTAGAAAGTCACACAAATAGTGAAATATTTCACAAAATCTTACAATTTACTGAAGAGTTGATTTTGTACAAAAGTAGAAATATATTGAAAATCTTTAAAAGGTCAACTGAATAGAGACACATTACACAAAAGTGGTTCAAATTTCTAAAAAGTCACAAAATCTTCTAATGTTGTCAACGATATTTTCTAGAAGGTCAACAGAATAGTTAAATATTTCACAAAATCTTGCAATGTACTGAACAGTTGATTTTCTTGAAACAAAAGTAGAAATATCTTGCAAATTTCTAAAAAGTCAACTGAATAGAGACATATTTCACAAAATCTTCGAATTTTGCCAACGATTTGTTTTACAAAGTTACCCAAATAGTGAAATATTTCACAAAATCTTGCAATTTACTGAACAGTAGATATTCTACAAACTGTCTTACCTTCAGATAAAAAAAATTAAAACAAGTAAGAGTGCTATATTCGGCTGTGCCGAATCTTATATACCCTTCACCATAGTGTATTTAAAAAATATAAATTTTATAAAATTTTAATTTACATATTTCATTTTCCGGACTATATCATCATTATAGCAATAGCAAAACATAATGAACAACAACAACGCTAAACGAAATAAACACACAAAAAACAAAATACACAAGGCAGGCAAACCAACAGACATCCAAATATACGAAAAGAAATACACAAAAAAACAAAAACAAAATACACAACGCAATGAAACCAACAGACATCCAAACATACGGAACTGAATTCACCTAGAAACAAAACCAATATACAACAGGCAATGAAACACACAGCCATCCAAACATAGGAAACTGAATACACTAAGAAACAAAAACAACATACACAAGGCAATGAAATACACAGCCATCCAAACGTACGAAACTGAATACACAAAGAAACAAAAACAACATACACAAGGCAATGAAACACACAGCCATCCAAACGTACGAAACTGAATACACAAAGAAACAAAAACAACATACACAAGGCAATGAAACACACAGCCCTCCAAACATATGAAACGAAATACTCAAAAAAAAAACAAAATACACAACGCAATGAATAAGCAGTGTTGTTGTTGCTTATTTTTTATGAAAATTTCAGAGGTTGTATCGGATTTTTGCTTATATCTCCGTTGTTTATGGACGGATTTTTCTGATTTTAAATAGGAAACTTCTCGAAAGCATGTCTGATAGAATCATTGAAGACTTGGATCTCGAAGATATCTGGGGTCTTCAGAAAACTGATTTCAACAGACAAACAGACGGACAGACAGACAGACGGACATGGCTTAATCGACTCCGCTATCTACAAGGATTCAGAATATATATACTTTATAGGGTCGGAAAATTATATTTTGGAAATTACAAACGGTATGACAAACTTATATATACCCTTCTCACGAAGGTGAAGGGTATAAAACATGCAAAGATTTTTCAAAATCTCTATAAAAAGTTGAAATATCTTGCAAATTCTAAAAAGTCAACTGAATAGTAAAATATTTCACAAAAGTAGAAATATCTTGCAAATTTCTAAAAGTCAACTCAATAGAGACATATTCACAAAACCTTCGAATTTTGTCAACGATTTGTTTTACAAAATTACTAAAATAGTGAACTATTTCACAAAATCCAGTAATTTACTGAATAGTTGATATTTTAGAAAGAGTTTTACATTCAGTTACATATTTCACAAAATCTTCGAATTTTGCCAACGATTTGTTTTACAAAGTTATCCAAATAGTGAAATATTTCACACAATCTTGAACATTACTGAGTAAGTTTCTAAAAAACCAACTGAATAGAGACATATTTCACAAGATCTTCTAATTTTGTCAACGATTTCTTTTAGAAAGTCACACAAATAGTGAAATATTTCACAAAATCTTGCAATGTACTGAACAGTTGATTTTCTTGAAACACAAGTAGAAATATCATGCAAATTTCTAAAAAGTCAACTGAAGAGAGACATATTTCACAAAATCTACGAATTTTGCCAACGATTTGTTTTACAAAGTTACCCAAATAATGAAATATTTCACAAAATCTTGCAATTTACTGAAGAGCTGATTTTCTAGAACATACACATTGAAAAAAATGCAAAGATTTCACAAAATTTCTATAAAAAGTAGAAATATCTTTCAAATTTCTAAAAAGTCAACTGATTAGTAAAATATTTCACAAAAGTAAAAATATCTTGCTAATTTCTAAATCGTCATCTGAATAGAGACATATTTTACAAAATCTTCGAATTTTGTCAGCGATTTATTTTAGAAAGTCACCCAAATATGGTAATATTTCACAAAATCTAGCAATTTACTGAATAATTGATATTCTAGAAACTATCTTACATTCAGATACAAAATGTAAAGATTTTTCAAAATCTCTATAAAAAGTTGAAATATCTTGCAAATTTCTAAAAAGTCGACTGAATAATAAAATATTTCACAAAAGTAGAAATATCTTGCATAGATATTCTAAAAACTGTCTTACATTCAGATTAAAAATTTAAAAACATTCAAAGATTTTTCAAAATCTCTATAAAAAGTTGAAATATCTTGCAAATTTCTAAAAAGAGAGTGAATAGAGACATATTTCCAAAATCTTGAACATTACAGAACAGTCAATTTTTAGGACATTTGTCTACGATTTTTTCTAGAAAGTCAACCAAATAGTGAAATATTTCACAAAGTCTTGCAATGTGCTGAACAGTTGATTTTTTAGAAACAAAAGTAGAAATATCTTACAAATTTCTAAAAAGCCAACTGAATAGAGATATATTTCATAAAATCTTATATGTTTGTCAACGATTTTTTCTAGAAAGTCACCCAAATAGTGAAATACTTCACAAAATCTTACAATGTACTGAAGAGTTGATTTTCTAGAAATATTCTTACATTCAGATACAAATTAAAAAAAAGTGCAAAGATTTCACAAAATTTCTATAAAAAGTAGAAATATCTTTCAAATTTCTAAAAACTCAACTGAGTAGTAAAATATTTCACAAAAGTAGAAATTTTTTGCAAATTTATGAAAAGTCAACTGAATAGAGACATATTTCACAAAATCTTCTAATTTTGTTAACGATTTCTTTTAGAAAGTCACACAAATAATGAAAATTTTCACAAAATCTTGCAATTTACTGAATAGTTGATATTTTAGAAACAGTCTTACATTCAGTTACAAATTTTAAAAATACAAATATTTCTCAAAATCTCTATAAAAAGTGAAAATACCTTGCAAATTTCTAAAAAGGCAACTGTATAGTGAAATGTTTTACAAAATCTTGAACATTACTGAACAGTCGATTTTTCGGAAATTTTTCTACGATTTTTTCTAGAAAGAAATATGGAAATATTTTACAAAATCTTGCAATTTACTAAATTATTGATATTCTACAAACTGCCTTACATTCCGATAAAAAATTTGAAAAAAATTAAAAGATTTCTCAAAATCTCTATAATAAGTTGAAATATCTTGCAAATTTTTAAAAAGTCAACTGAATAGTAAACTATTTCAGAAAAGTAGAAATATCTTGCAAATTTCTAAAAAGTCAACTGAATAGAGACATATTTCACAAAATCTTCGAATTTTGACCACGATTCGTTCACAAAGTCAACCAAATATG